TACACACATTCTGAAACTGTTACAGCTCTCTATGGCTTTAAGCCTTCATGGTTTAGTCATTATTTCCCTTCCTAGGCTTGACCTACTCTCTCTGTAATGTTGAACTAGAACCAGACATCAAAGTGGTAAAAGTAAAGTTTACTCAGAAACAATTTCGATAGAGGAAAGGGGGTTTTGGTCTAGAAATGAGCTCATTTCAGAATCTAACAAGGACCATGTCGTTCCTATTTCAGTAAGGGAAGGAGGCAGATAGTGAATGGAAAATCACCAGGAGGACATATCACAATGAAAAATTTTTGCTAAAACAACTCAATTTGGTTCTTGCTGAAGACAGGCTAGAATAATCTCATATCTCATATCAGAGGTGTGGGGTGGAGGGAGGAGGCATTTCAGCAGCTAGTGAAGTTTAGTAGATACTAAAGGTCTAAGGATGGACTTTTCTAGAAGGGGATTCCATGCTAAAATTGTTAGGACTATTGGGAAGGTGTAGCAATGAACCTTACAAGGTAATCCTGGGAAAATAAATTCAATTTATTAAATTGTAACTGTTATGGGTACACTGAGAAACGTCCGGTTCTTCCTAGGTCCTGACACCAGGGTAACAGTGTGTCAGAGAAAAGAACATAACCAGACCTTCCATGAATTATTGGACATACTCTCTGAACCAAAATGAATTCTAGAAGATTCAAAATGTCACTCACTCAATGGCTAGAGAAAAAGGTACATGAATGGAGGTGAGCAATAGATTCAAGTCCAATCTCTCCAAAGGGCACAATGTTCCCTAAACCCACCTCATCCACAATTACACAGTACAAAGTCAAAGTAGTTAAACACAGCACCTGCCAGAGTCCTGTCTCTGTTCCGTGTGACATTTACAGATCCCTCTTGTCATGACTACTTCCTCCAGATAGAAAATGGCTGCTCAGAGAGAAAACAAGTGACCCATTGCCCTGATTTAGGAGCCTTGTCAATGAAGTTTACATTTGAAGATCAACAGTAAAGGAAAAATAAAATATCTGTATGCAATTGTGTAACCACTCGGAGTCCCATAGTCAGGGGGAAGAAGGTGGAGTTGGAACAAAATAGTAATTAGAAAGGAAACATAGTTTCCTTCAGCTAGAGTCTGGGGAGAAGGATGGTGGTGGCCTTTTTTCCATGCAGATCCTAGCTCACAAAGAGGATTTGTCTATGGCATATCCACCAACCAGGAAGACAAAAGAGGGCAGCAATGTAGGACTCAGGAAAATAAGTGGAGTAGGAGCTGGCAACTAGTAAGCTTAGTCTAAAGTACCAGTAGAGCATAGTCCCAAATAATTCCAGTTTCTAGGGAAAGTCCTCCACAATAATGCCTGGAGAGGCATAGAAAATTTGAAAATATGTGTACTACAAGTTGGAAAGCTTACATAAAATGTAAGCATGCATTTTTTTTTCAGAAAGACAAGGCTGTGAGCTTTCTATTCTAGCCCTCATCTTCTAATTTCTTCTGCCTTACTCCTAACAGGGTGTGACCACCTCTACTGGTGGAGAACTTTTTACCCCTAGTGTCATATTATCCCATTCGTAGATTAATTCCACTCGTTAGCATTGCCATGAGGGGGGGCTCCCTGTTACTTCTTAATGGTTAAGTCTCTGTTTTCATACTGACACCTTGAAATTCACAATCTGGTCTACCAAGTAATAAGGAAAAACTCTGTTCAAAGTGAAAACTCTCATGCCAGACTCCAAACAACCGTAAAAAGTTCCTGGATTATCTGTGTGCACATTGAAGGTTGCACATTAATCTATGTATGAGTCCATTCAGGCTATATAATAAACTACCACAGAATAAATATGATTCTCACCGTTCTGGAGGCTGGAAAGCCTACAGTCAAAGGTGTCTACAAATCTGGTGTTCAGCAGGAGCCTACTGTGGGACCTCTTTCATAAGGGAAACTCCTCCTGGCTTACCTTTGTCCCAAAGACCCACCCACCCCCAATGCTATTGCCTTGGGGTGAAAATCTCAAGGTACATTTTCAGGAACCATAAGCATTTGGTTGACAATGATATGCAGCTACAGAGTGAATTCTGATTGTAGCCTCACAGACTACTCATTCGTGTTTCATAGGAGCCTATGTCTTCTCTCAAAGATATCAGGATCATGAGGGAGCAGGAAGATTGAGTTGGGGGGGGAGAATAGAGGAGAGCAAGAAAAGAGATACCTTAATAGAGGGAGCCATTATAGGTTTAAAGAGAAATCTGGCACTAGGGAAATGTCCAGAGATCTACAAGGATGACCCCCAACTAACAAATCTAAGCAATAGTCAAGAGTCTACCTTAAATGCCCTTCCCAGATAATGAGACTGATGACTGCCTTATATGCCATCCTAGAGCCTTCACCCAGTAGCTGATGGAAGCAGAAGCAGACACCCATAGTTAAGCACTGAACTGAACTCCTGGAACCGAATTGCAGAGAGTGAGGAGAGATGAGCAAAGGGGTCAAGACCAGGCTGGAGAAACCCGCAGACACAGCTGACCTAACCAAGGGGGAGCTCCTGGGCCCCAGAGTGACAGCTTAGAAACCAGCACAGAACTGACCCACTCCCACTCAACGTGGGTATCAGTTAGGAGGACTTGGCAGTCTATGGGGCCTCTGGCAGTAGATCAGTATTTATCCCTAGTGTACGGATGGACAAGCGAGCCCACTCCACATAGAGGGATGCTCTCTTGGCCTAGACACATGGGGAAGTGTTAGACCCTGCTCCAAATGATATGACAGACTATGATGATCACACATGGAAGGCCTCACCCTCCCTGAGGAGCAGAAAGGGGATTGAATAGGAGGCCGGTGGGGGGTCAGGGGAGGAGTGAAGGGAGAGGTTACTGGGATTGATATGTAAAACAAGATTATTTCTAATTTAAATAAAAATATATCAGCATAGGTACATGGCTCATTGAGTAAAGCTCTTGCTGTCTTAGGGTGATGACATGAGTTTTTGTTCTCAGAACCCACTTAAAGCTGGATGTGGTGGTAAACATATCCAGTCCCAGAATATCTGTGCCTACATGGCAAGTGGAGATGGTAGAGTTTCTGGAAACTCATGGGTCAGACAGCTTGGCATACACCAGGGAGAAGATGTAAAGATTCCATCTTCCACTAGGTGCAAGGTGAAAACTGACTGACACACCAAGTTATCTCCTGATCTCCCTATGTATTGCCCATACTCACACACATGAATGTGCACACACACATACACATATGAACATCACACACACAATACATATAAACATCACACACACAATACATATAAACATCACACACACAATACATATAAACATCACACACACAATACATATAAACATCACACACACAATACATATAAACATCACACACACAATACATATAAACATCACACACACAATACATATAAACATCACACACACAATACATATAAACATCACGCACACAATACATATGTACATCACACACAAACACACAAATACATATATACATCATACACACACCCAAACACACAAATACATATCCATATTATACACAGACACTTTCTTTTAAAGACATCAGAATCAGCAAAAGAGAAGAGACCAAGTCACACTTTTGTAATCTACTTTAACAAAATATCTCCTGGACTTCTTATACTACTCTCCACAAATTAGATCAACAAGCTCTGGTAGGTAAAAATCAATTCTGTTTCACTTTAATGCTGCTGCTTATGAATTGTAAGCTAAATTTGCCTCATAAAATTATCTCTCATGTAAAAGTAAGTTAAAATGAGCATGAGCTTGCTCGTTTAAAATAAATTGGCCAACTATTGCTCAGTTTTAAGCCTGCTGTGCTCTGCTTCTCCGGATGGTGATAACGAGATAAAGCATATTCATTGTCAGTCCTTGGTCAGGTCTGTGAGCAAAGGATGGGCTATTCCAAACTACGGCCCGACAGCAAAGGCAAGCTGTGAGAAGTGTTCCTGTTCACTGAGGTCATGAGATAAAGAAATAAATTAAACCTATTTGAAAGGAGCTACAAAGTCAGAGACAGAAGGGTGTCTAGACCTGACCACCAGAATGAAATGATGTAAGGTGTACAAAGACGGCACATGCCACTGCCCGAGACCAGTCTGTGCTACTGAATTACAAACAGTGTTCTATGAATAAAATAGAAAGTGACAGGACACAGGGGATGGCTGAGAGAATAACCTGCTTGCTGCAGGAGTGTGAGAGCCTGAGTTTGAATGCCTAGAACACATATGAAATCCCAATGCTGAGTGATGGGGTCAGGTGAGGGTAGGAGACGCAGGAGTATACTCAGAGCTCACTAGCTGGCCAGTGTCGCTGAATCAGCAGGCTTCAGGTTCAATGAGAAACCTTGTCTCAAAAAAGTAAGATGAAGAGAAATAGAGGAGGAGACTCGGCATCAATACACACACACACACACACACACACACACACACAATTTCTAGCTATTTCATGTATAATAAGTGTTACCCTATGTGTTTATAGTGTCATTAATATGTAATTAACATATAACTCAACCATTGCAATCTCTATCTATCTATCTATCTATTTATATCTGTATCATTAATTATCCACACATGTTTGCAATTTTGCAGCAAACAAAAGTCAGTATTGGAACATTTTCAAATATGTGTAAATAGCCCAGACCTTCACATTAGGTAACCACTGGTCTGTATGTATAAAACTTAGCCATTCACAGGAATTTCATATGAATAGAAGCATGATTTATGCTTTTTCCTAACTGGCTTCTGATGGGGAATGTACTTCTGTGGATGTTCATCTTATTGATTGTTGAATAAAGTACTGTTTGGGTAATGAGGCAGCAAGTTAGATGGGACTAGGAGTCAAGAAGGATTCTGGGAAATGTAGTAAAGAAGTGGTGATCCAGGCAGGAAGTGACATAGCAGAGAGACTCATACACAGGCTTCATTTTGCAGCATTATCACTCATTTATAAATTTTATTAATGATTAAAAGTCCATAACACATTGAATATCACAAATTTATCCATTCAACTGTTGATGTTTCTTTGGTCTATTTGCCATTTTAGTTATTATGGACAATGTTAACATTTGCACATGTTTTTTGTTGTATGTGTACATGTATAGGAAAGTGTTTGTATGTGAGATGTCTGCATACATATATGTGCAAGTTAGTGTACATTCTTGAGGCCAGAGGAGAACATGGGGGGGGGTCCTTCTCCCTAACTATGCCTTAATATCAAAGGAAAATCTTCTGCCTGATCCTGGAGCTCACATTTGAGATAAACTGTCAAACAGCAACCCACAGCCCTCCTCTTGCCTCTGCCTGTTCAGTGCTAGGGTCACAGGTACATACAAGACGGTACCCAGCTCTTAGGTGGGTGCTGGTATCTGAACTTCAACTCTTGTTCTTGCACAGTGATCACTCTCAACCTCTGAGCCATCTCTCCAGCTCACATATGTGCACTTTTATACACAAGCATCTTTATTTCTCTTCAGTAGATTCCAAAGAACCCAATTTTTTTTATGGGACAGTTTTCTCACAAAGGGGTTCTCTCTTTCCCAGAAAGAACGCCGTGATTAATGAAGTGTTTTAACAGCCATGCTGAGGTTTTTGTTTTCATCTACCCTCTGCATAAAATACACATGTGAGTATATATTTAATTAATTTCTAAGATGGCTGTGCCATTTCATGTTAAGGTTCAGAGCTCCACATCCTTTTCACAGCCTGGTCTTCCATATTGCCCTAAACTGAACATGTCATCCCAAATTTTATATGGTGAAGCTCTGACTCCAATGTGATGAGACACAGAGAGGCGTTTGGGAGGAAAATGAATTTAGATGAAACCTGAATGGTGGGAATCATACAGTAGGATTTGTATCCTTATAGAAATAGGAAGAGGGGCAAAAGGTCTCCCTTGCCAGGTGAGGACTCAGAGAGACTGCAGTGGTCTCAAAGACAAACAAACTCTTACCACTTCAACTAGGAACTCGATTTTGGACTTTCCATCATTACAAATTGTAGATGTACTACATACCTTCTGTAAAGTAATCCAGTATGTGGTATTTTTTTTGAAAATCATGACCAGAATAGGATAGTTAGGTTTTTTCCATAGACCTCTGAAGCAAGAGAAATTAAAACAATTAAACTAATTGGAAAAAATAAAACTAGAAGATTACATCAATTAAGAAAATTTAATGTAATTGAGAAGAAAATACTATTTTATTGGAATATACAAGAGTTGAGGATGAATGGCATCCAAAGTGGAAGAAATCGAAGCTACATAAAGACAACAAATTGAAAACATGACAAAGATCACAATAACATTTTTATGTGTATTAAGACCTTGAACTGAACTGGAATCCAGTTGCAGAGAAGGACTGATTAGCAAAAGGGACCACACCAGGCTGGTGAAACCCACAGAAACAGCTGACCTGAACAAGGGAGAGCTCTTAGTTCCCAGACTGATACCTGGGAAACCAGCATGGGACTGATCCAGACCCCCCTGAATGTGGGTGTCAGTGAGGAGACCTTGGAAATCTATGGGGCCTCTTGTAGTGGATCAGTACTTATCCCTAGCATAGGAATGGACTTTGGGAGCCCATCCCACATGGAGGGATACTCCCTGAGCCTAGACACAAGGGGGTGGGCCTAGGCCCTGTCCCAAAGGTACCCCCCTATAGAAGTCCTCACCCTCCCTTGGGAGCAGAAAAGGTATGGGATAGGTAGGGTGTTAGTTGTGGGGGACAGGGGAGGAGAGGAGGGAGAGGGAACTGGGATTAGCATGTAAAATAATTTTCTTTCTAATTAAAATAAAATAAAAAAGAATGCTTTGCAGAAACAAATGGAGACCATCACAGAAAACCACAACTTGTCCTAATGTAGAGATCAACTGATATAGGGTATCCAGCCGCAATGGATACATTTATAACATGACTCCTGTACCTAAAGCTCAGAGTAGAAGAGGGGCCTAAAGATTGTTAAAGGCCAGAGAACTGGAAAATCTGCGTGAGATAGTTAGTGTCTCCTAAAAGTGATAGAGAAGCTTAATCCATGATACCTCAACATTGTGGCTACCCAAATCACACCTGAACAAAGATAACACCAGCAGGCATGCTGACTCAGAAGTCGGAAATCTCATAGTGTCCCACCCCTGGACAAAAAACTACAGGCAATTAATGACTACTAAGAGAGAGAGAGGGAGAAATAGAAGATGAGCCCTATGATTAGTTATGCATACAAAGTACTCAGCCCTAAAATCATACTCACTTAAGTCAGAATAAATGATAGTGTGTGTGTGTGTGTGTGTGTGTGTGTGTGTGTGTGTGTGTGTGTGTAATAATAATCAAATTGAAAAGGAACGGGGAATCATATGAGGAAGGGTTACTGGATTTCCTGGAAGCATAGGAGAAGACTTGGGAGGGTTAGAGGGAGGAAAGGGAAGTGGGCAAGCCATATAATATGTCAATTAAAATGTATTTTAAAATAATATTTTGCAGAGAAGGAAAAGTTAAGCTAAAGGAAAGAAAATCATCATTGAAGAAATTTCTTTAACCCTAGCCCCTTCCCCCCCAAAAGGCAGTGCCTTGGGACATATAAGAAGAATACACAGACAACGTAGAATATTGTACAGCAGCTCTAGGAGTGACTGCTGGGCATTGAAAAAAAAAAA